AAAGACCCAAGACCAAGAAACCCGCCCAAAAACAAGCTGATGGGGGCCATGAGGCCAGAGGCCGAGAGTTTGACTCAAACAACTCAAACCCCAAGTGAGGCCATACTGAGCATCCCATGAAACCCAGCCCCAACCCCACCTAAACATCAACACTGAAGGCCTAACTTTGCCTTAGGAAGGCTTCTTCTCAGCTTCCCTCGAATTGGAGGTTTGGATTGGTGGTTTGGTGGTGAAGGGGTGGTTTAGCATGTATTCTCTACGAGAGCCAGGGGGTCATATCCCAAACCACCAATCCAAACCACCAACTAAGGGTTGCCTGATCTTCAGTCTCAAAGGCGATTGGGTGTCTTCAGGGAGGTTTGCCCTGAAAAACATGCGCCCTTTCGGAATCATAAGCCTAGGAATTACTCTCACTTCTGACATGCCACAGGGAAATACGGCCGAAAACCCTAATTCCCCACCATCCCCATGTCCTGGCGCAGCTTTAGCTTCAACAACAGGACATATGGGTCGGTCAAAATTCAACCACCAGGGGACCGCAGGTTTTGGTCTTTGTTTCCATTTACCAGGGTTCCATTTTCGGTGCCTATTTTTGACCCACACCCATATGTTTCGAGAAGACCCCAAAAATTCGGGGCAACACCCGGAAAAATCTAGCCGCGCCTGAATGATGCCCTTCTTAATGAGCATGTCGATCTCGGGCAGGTGACCTGAGACGGTCGACAGATGGCGCTGGGCGCTTGTTTTTCAGCTCCTTGGATGTTCCTGTGAACAGAAACATGTACTTGTTTCGGAAAAATGGGCTCCCTTAGGACAAACCCCACGATTCTTTTAGGGGGTTGATCAATATTCCTGGTCCCAAAATGACCGTGGGTAACTTTTTCCAGTTAGTGAGAACTGTCATCTTTTTGGTGAGTTCCCTGGTGGTCATCCCATGTAAAGGACCTTTTTGATCAACCCGCAAAAAGCCGGCTCCAGCCAGCCAGACAGCTTGCTTGTGGGATGCGGTACACGCGCAGGGGTACACGGCATTGACACTTCATTCATCCAACAAATGGCAGAGAGAGTTGACCCTGCTGTTCATGTAACCCCTGTTTGTTAGTATTAGGGGTGGTCCGCTCCAACATTGATGAATCCCCACTAAAACCAGGGACACCCCCCCATTAATAAACCAGGGTTGATTTATATGGGTTCAACATTCGTGGGTCGCAACACTAACTTGGCCCAACGCCAAGTAAACACAGGGTGTCCCAAAAATGTAACCCCCGTACACGCGTTACTCGCCCCAGAGGGTGCACGCCAAGAAAATTGCAGGGAGCGAGCACAACGCAAGCTTCGCAGTGGCTGCTTGTCTTTTGCGGAGGAACCCATGTTTGTCTGATGTGCAAGAGAGACCAAAATGAAACCAGCCATTCTAAGGACCCCCTTAGTTTAGGAAACACGCAGTCGGGACTTGTGTTGACCTTCCAAGTTGTAAACAAACCCTAGTAGGTGCAGCACAACAGCGAGAAATAGGGGAAGCAAAAAAACATCGCTTACCCTTCCGGGTTGGTCGTCTATTTCAGCTTCGTAGCATCCCCCAGCGCATGCCTTTGAAGCCTTAAACCTGTCGACAAAACCCGTCGGTGCCAATCCAGTGGCAGTTCTCACAGCATACGTACTTCTCGATGAACTTGTCCAGTGAGGTACGCAGGTCCTCTCAGGACCAAGTTGCGTCTGGGCGAGAAATCAAAGACCCCTCAAAAGGAAAGCAAACTTCTTGCATGGAGAAATTGTCACTTACTCAAAGGTTAGAAGTTGGGTCTCAAACCACAGACCAGCGATTTTTGGAAAACGCAAAAAACGGCTCAAGGCCCACTTTGCGTCATTGTGCAGCACCATCAAGGCGTGACAACCCTCATTTTCCCAACAAAATGGTCAAAACGATAGAGTGCCCAAGTAGATTGGCCGAGAGTCCAAACTTTTTGTTTGCCCCCGACATGATGGTCTCCCCAACAAGTGGCCCAAGTCCAGGAACTCGGAGGTCGCACAAAAGCCTCCCAGAAACCTGTTCGCTGTCCTCACTCTATCCCATCTTGGTCCAATCCCAAACTCAGGGAGTGAGCCGAGTGTCGGGGGAGGGTTTCTGAGTGGCAGTGACGGTTGCATTCGGGGGGGGAAAAGAGAAGGAGTAACCCTCGACCCATCCAGGCCACCGCCTCACGTACGTCCCACTCCCGGCTGGCCTCCACCTGATGCGCCCCGCGCACGATGGAGCGCTCGCCCTCGCCCTCCTGGCCAATGGGGCGCTTTGGCCCATGGCCAAACCGACTGGCACCCAGAGGTTGGAGTTGGGATAGGTTGCACCCAGCGGAGGGTCAAAAAAATGCCAGACGGTCAGTTCTGCTCACAATGCCTTGCATGCGGAAACTCACCTGAAAGCTTACACTGCATCACGTAGCGCATTCTCCTGGTTGTAAGTGTGCTTGCCCTCTAGATAGCAAGCAACTTCAAAAAGCGGTCCATCTTGACGACCTCAGCTTCACAAGCCTAGATCAGAAAATGATGCTTGGGCCACAGAAAGTCGACCGGGAATTGGATGCCGATCGGCATGCCACAAGTTGGGACTCAGCAAACAAAACCAAGGAAACCGCGGTCGGCATGTTCTGATCGAACCGGAATTCCAACACAAAGGAACATGCCCCCTACGAATATGCCGAAGATGTCCAAGCGGTGCGCCTTTTTTAGGCCCCCCCCAAACCAAAATGTCAAGACCACCAAAAGAAAAGTGTCCTCAAAAAAAGGACACCCCAAGTGGGTCCAACTGGAAAATCTCCAAGGCGTGCAGCAAGACCCACACCTTCCGGTCGCGGAATCCAGGCCTTGTTGGTGTACGTGGACTGCGCACCCAGATCCTGAGCTGGCTCCCGGGTCTCGTTGCTTTGGTGAAGATGGGTGTGGGGGTGGATCGTCTCGGTGTTCGGCTCGGTGCCCTTTTTTGGGCTGGTTTTAGTAGAAGTCGGAAGGAAATACACGATTTTGTGGGCTCCATATCCCGCATATCCTATTTTGAGACCAACTAATATGCTCTTCGCGTACCCATTTGTTGGGATCTCTGTGGAAAATCACCAGCCTAGGGGCTTCTGGGTGGTCACTTGGATTTAAGAAAATGGATTGGTAAACCCGTGTTTGATTCATAGGCGGTGTGCGAGCCACGTTTCAGGCCATCCGGATCATGTTGGAGGGGGATGCACCCCCTAGTCCGCCAGGTAATATCATCCAGGCTTAACATTCCAGGAATACCCAACCCAGTGCTTTCCATTTCTAGCAATGTTGACCTGTTCCTGGGGATTCAGACCACTTTTGGAGGGGCCCCCCCCAAAAAAAAAACACCCCAGGGTTTTAGTAGGATGGGCTGATTCATCTGGGGTCAACAACTTCAGGTGGACGCCACCCCCCACTTCCACCTCGACCTTCGGCCCCCCGGCGTTGCCGAAGAACTTCGTCACGTACTGCCTCGGGTTTCACCGAGTTCCGAGTTCCCCGGCCGAGGGACTCGAGTGAGGGCGAACGAAAAACGCCAAGGGCCGGCCCGAAATCTGAGGGAGGGAACAAACACAGCAGGAGTTCCCCAAGAAACGGACCTTGACAGGTGAGAATCGGGTTTACCCACAAGTGAGCTTGCGTTCATGGTGCTTCTTTCGCCAGGCGTGCATTGTATATTTGCCCGCAGGACCTGCGCGTAAAAAGCTAGACCCTCTTGGGTCAGCCTGGTGCACTGGGCCCCTGACTGAGCACTCTGGAAAAACCGGGTCCACTGATGGGTGCCAGGGAAAAATGGTGGAAGTCCTGGCCTTCTGTGGAAAATTTGGCTTTTTCCCCCCCCTGGCCCCTCCCCGTTCAGCCACAGACTACCAGAAGCTTGATTTGAACCTATGTGCCATGGTCAAGACTCCGAAATCATGGGTCATGCCCGTGAACTCCCACCCCATGTCCCTCTCAAATGGACCCATAAAGCAGCAAACCGCTGCCATGTTTGGGGGTCCCCGATTTCATGACACATCAGGACCCAAAAATTGTGCTAAAGAGCCCCTCACCGTTAGCAGCTTGCTTTTTCTGATAGCAAAGGCATCTTGAACAACACACGCTGGATAGACCCATTCATTAATGAGGTTCCATGGGAAGACCAACTGAAGAACCAACCCAACCAAGTCTAACCAACCAAAAAAGGGGGCCAAAGGAGTCCAACCAGAAAGGGGGTCCAAGCAAAAGGGGCCAATCAAAAAACGTCTAACCAAAAGATATAGAAAGAGCTCCAACCGAAATAGTCGCAACTTCCGCCAGGCCACGGCGGGCGCTTGATCGCTCGCGCCACCTGCAAGAGATCTTTGGTACCAGAACCCAAACCCCCCCCCCCCGATGTTTGCAGGCGACATGTGCGTGGTTCCCCATGGCCGGACATCGGAAAACTGGGGGGGCTGTTATTCTGGTCTGTGTGGGGACCTTTCAGCGGTGTGCTGATTGAGTAAGTTGCTCGCGAGATTTGCCGCTACCACGGAGGAAGCCAGGGTTGTCACATCTAACCCACACAGTGGTTGGGTTAGAAGAAATGAAGTCGCCGCAAAACCCACGCGAATGGGCGGAAATCCGACACTATCAACAAGGCATTTTGCTGGCGGTTAGAAAGAAGCTGCTCAGTCTTCCAACCCCTTACAACTAAAAGGGTTTCTTACCAAAGGTCGAAAACTGTTGTTGTCCAGCACGTTCAAAATTGCCTGATTTGACAACGGGGGGATGCCCCTTGGCCCAGCCCAGCGTCGAGAATGGCCGAAGCCACGAAACATGAGAACCTCCCCCCCCCCCCCCAAGGAGAAAAATCAAGTAAACCAAAAATTCAAAAGGGAGGTCCTAGATAGAAGGGGAAGCGGTCAGACATGTTCAAGCCCTTTGGAGGGCTTTTTCAAGTAGCTGCTTTTGCCGGCAGAATGGCTTGCCGACTCCGAAGGCCTGGTATGTGGGTCCTGGAAAAGAAGCAGGCAAGCGGGTTTTTGCCCGCCGCACTCGGCTGAGAAGTGTTGAAGCCTTTTCGGCACCGTGAACGAACCCGGGCCAGAGCGGGCACGACGGGGATGCTCGGAAAAGATCCAGGCAGCTTCAACCTGCGGCCTACGCGCGGCTTCGGCCGTCAGGGCTGCACTGGTGTTCCAGGGGGCCCCTGCTCGCAGCGCCGAGTATGGGAGTAGCTGGGGATTCCCAACCCAGAACACTCCAGGAACCTCGGCTCCAGCATTTGAGGGAACAAATGGCAATGCAAAGGCCTGCTCCAGCTCCACCAATGCAAGACAAACACTGAGGCTGGCGTATGGCTAAGACTTTTGACTTACCATATCCCCGATTCATATCTCAAGGGGGAGTGCCCCTCAAAAACCCATAGTCACGGTAGATAATGCCAAGCATGGGTCAAGGATCCAACATAGGTGGGGCTATAGCAAATTCCAGTAGACCCAGACCTTCGCCCGTAGCTTGGGCCCTTCTCCACCCAGAAAAAACGGCAAGCAGAAGCACTCAGACCGGGCCTCGCCCATGTTCACAATGCACGTCTTGATTCCTCCGTGCGGCGATCAGCTTGAAGCCATGAGCCATGACTCAAGGCGCTGTATGTTGGATCGAGCTATTCGTGGTACTTCAATTTGATTCAGTGTTCAATTCCCGATCAGCTCACCAGGTAGCTGTTTTAGGTTTGGAGGTTTGGAGGAGACTTGCTGGTTTGGGGGGGGCGATGAATTGGAAGTTGGAGGGGGTGGCATTAAACTGTCTGCACTGGTTACAAAACAAGTCACCCACCTGAATTAAGACATCCCTAAACCTTCGTGATGGGACTCGTTCTCCTTTTACCCCACTTTGAGCTCGCTGCACTTCCTGTGGATGGGTGGTTTCCGGCGCCCAAAACAAGCCAGGGTGCAACCCCCCTGCTCCCACCCGGTGCCAGGTACTTCCCAGCTCCTTTTTGGCCTTCGAGGCCGAGGGGCCGTTCCCACGACCCTCCACCTTCGCCATCAAGCGAGGCATCTTGTAGCCTGGCCAGGCAACTCCGCAAGTTTCAGGGGGTGGTGGGGTCCGGGACCATTCAGGACATGGGCTGCAAGTGAGACAGGTTTGCTCAGGGAGTTCGCCAAATGTGGGCTCCCTTTCCCTTCGGGTCCCGCTGCCCAAAGTCGCACCCCTGGACCCATGAAAGTTTGGAAGGAGAATCGAACTTCGCGTGAAAGCCAGACCCCGGCAAATCACATGTAGCCTACAACAAAACGGGGACTTTCGAGTGGGGCTCCATAGGGTCCCCCGCTATTCAAGGGCATCCTCTTTTTTTTTCGCTACGGTGGGGGAGGTCCATCCTGATTACTGAACAAGATTGATGTCAGTCCAGCAATGTGAGCCCCAGTGGACATTGGTGAATGTGCCCCCATGTTATCCAATTTGCGGTAGTAGTGGACACCCTCTTAGGGTCGCTCAGAAGTCCTTGTGAAACGCTGAGGTCCCTCCTAACTATTACCCGACTTAAAGAAGACTCCGTTTAACCTGGTCAACGTTCAACCCTAAACCCAGGAAGTCATGTTGTTCTTTGCTCATCACTTCCGTACGTCAAAAGTCAACACGTAAGATGCCACCCGCAAAGGGCGGGATGGGAAGGCCATGGAGCTGGAGCATTCCGGTCAAAAGGTAAGCTGCCAGATCATTCGTGCTCGACCCACCGTTCTACTTAAGCCAAAAGCCCACAAAGGGAATATAGCAAAACCAAGAGACAAACAATTGTCCGATAAAGAGGGTGAGGGGGGAGACCCGTGCCTGAATCCGTCAAATGCTTCCAACTGCTTCCGACCCGAGGAGGAGATTGGCTGCTTGGCAAGTGGTTTGTGACCGTGGTTCGGAGTCCCCTTAAAGGATAAATTTGGGCCAGTTGCAGAATGTCCTAAATAAGCTGATTCAGCGGATCCCTTGTAAAACAGGTGGGGTGGCTTTTGCATGTATCCTTTCAAAAACCCTGTGTTTGTAAGCCACTTGCAGTGTTATAAACAGGGTTTCTTGCCACTCACCAAGTCGCAAATCTCGTCTATTCAACTGCTTGAAACGTCTGCCGGCAGCACGGTACTGAGGGTCGGTGTTCGTGGATGGGATATTGCACATCGCCATGGTTGCGACGGTGACTTAGTCCTGGAAGGCTTTCAGACACCCGCGGCCCGCAGCTGGCAGCAAGCGCTCGACAAAAGATCCTGTGCGATTTATGAGGGTCCCTGTCCCACTAGCCTATATTTACAAAGCCCGGTCTTTCCACGGTGGATACCTACTAGATCAACATCATTCCATCACACCCTTAAGTACGCATTCCTGAAAGCAAACGGGGATCATCTGTTTGACACAACCAGTCGTCCAAAATGCAGATCAAATCCGGAAGACTCGGACAAGTCCCGTTGGGTCAAAGCTTTATCTTCATTTTGTTTGTAAAAATAATCTCAAGATGCTAAATTGTGAAAGGAATATTCTCGGCACTTCACCAAGGAGCCGCCAGCTTCGCTCTGATTCGCGGTGTGGTCGTTTGGAGGTTGGGGGTGGTGCCCATCCCCCTCTTGAAGGGACCTGTTCCATGTCAGGTGCCATGAATTCGTTTGACGGAGGGCAGATTCAACCGAGATCTTCGAAAATCCGCCCCAGCAAATTTGGGCATTCGGGTTTTATGTCCGGCCAGCCACACGCGTGGAATATTGGTCCCCTTTATCTCCCTCAAAGGAGCGATACCGATGCCGGTGCCTAAGCGAGAATGACCACCTGCTTCTCCAATGAATGTCTGCAAGCACTTCGTGGGTCGAGAGTTTATGCTTGGTATCGCAAACCCTGATCGGCACAGTCTGAAGCACATCTGCCTTTTAAGAGCCAAACAATTCCGCACATGGGCCCGACTTGAAAAGTCATTGCCACATCATTGTCCTGCGAATGCACAGAATCCCTTTTACGGCAGGGATTGGTGAAGCCCGATTTGAATACAGGTTGATAAATAGATCACCTGGAGTCAGTATGATCCTGACTTAATGTGGTTTCGCAGTACCAACCCCAGTCAAATCATTTCGGCGTGTGTTATTTTTGGAACCCCAAAATGGTGGTGTTCCTCTTGCTTTCCCTTTAAAACCAACACCAAAAAGGGCTGCCAACTCCGAAGAAAGACCCAGTGAGCTCCTGAAACTTCCCCTTGCCCAGCCCGCAACGTACTGAGAGGTTCTGTCCTTGCGATCAGTGGGTTGCCTCCGGAGGCATGCAGAATCCTGGGCGTCCGGGTGACTGGAAACTGAACCATGGGTCCCTGGGTCTGAGCCCTAATTTTTGAAGGAGTTGGTACCCGTTGTGGGGGTGGTTTAACCGGAGATTAAAACCGCTCATTTCCGGGTTCCCAGAATTTAAGGCACCCATCTTGGAGCCGCTTGCAACCGTTCCCTTGGCAAGTGAATAAATGGTCGTCCATTGCCTGCAACCGTTCCCAGCTCGAAGAAATCCGTAAGGGACCTGTGGAATCGAGGGCTTCTGCCCACGGATCCCGCCCTTGCGCCACCAAGACAAAACCTCCCATGGAAAAAAAAAACGGAATCCATAAACTCAGGAGAACATAATGGAATCGAGGACACCTGGGGCGTTGTCTATGAGACCAAAGGATCTCTGCCACTGATATCAGGTCCACATGCAGCCCAGGAGCGCAGATTGACTTTTGGGCTCAACCAAACTGATTACAGTACAAAGGTTGATGTTGGCGTCTTTCTTTCGGGGCACTTTGGTTTGCTTTCTGGAGATCGCCCGTATAGGCGTCACTGCAATCCGACCAAAAAAGTGGAAATCCTACCATACAGCGCGGTAGAAAACTTTGGACACTGACTTATTACCCCCTAGCCCTACATGCAACCCGAGCGACTTACAAGCTGGGGTTACACGCACTTGCCCTCTGCGGTGGATGTAAACTAAACCAGAAAACCATGGTAGATTACAGTGATTTAAAGGCTTGCTCCATTATTTGCAACATGGCGGGGGCGTCCGTCATTTTCTGGGCTCCACCCAGACATCCGAGGTGCAGATTCCTGGTCTGGCCGTTCTCCTGGCCGGGAAACACATCGCAGGCCCTACCCACGAAATCTCCCACCTTGGGCACTTGGCCGTACTTTGGAAAAACCGAACAGGACTAGGATCTTAGAGCTCCACACAAGTTTGCCAAAACGGCCACCTGCTGTACATGCGGGACTCATGGGCCGGAGCTACCCCCGAAAGTTCTCAGGATCTCCACTCAAACGCATTCCACCCGCGATTTCATCGGGGGGTATTCCTCAACTTGGCCTCCCAGTGCCACGAACGCTCCGAGTACCTTTGCAAAGGCCACCACAAGTATCACTGTGCGGCTCCTGTGGGCCAAATGCCTTGAGCGCATAAACGAGCCGTGCCCAAAGCGCTCTGTAGCCTGGGCGCAGATATTTTGCGATCAAAAAATGAACAAGTGGAATGGAGTTGGGGGTACATTTTTTGCTTTTACTTCATCACAGGAGAGCACTATTTGGAATCATGTAGCCCCTGATACAAAATGACATCCTGAGCCCTCTGAACGGCGTTTTAAAGGGAGATCGCACCCCAAAAGCAAGTTTGAGAGCTGCCTCAAAACAGGGCTCCCTGGAGTTCCCCATCAAAAGTTGCAACTTGCTGGGGCGGGTTCCATTGAAACCGCCACTTGGAGCTGCAAGATAGTCACTTTCAGCGACCCAGGCTTTGAAGTTGTCTGAAGTGACACTCCTTCAGGGGGATGGTGTAGGTGGTCCCAACCCTAAAGGCCTTCTGGGTGCGGCGGCTGCAACTCAATTGATGCAATTCTCACTACCCAGTTTTCTTTGGGAAATCGTCTGACTGTTCATTGCTTGTAGTTTCTGGAAAGCATCCTGATAAAGAAGAGAAGACAGGGGGAGTACAACTATGATGCCCGAACTTTGCTTCGGGGCTCGGTCCAGTATGGGACCCAGGATGCACCTTCTCTGATTTAACATCCTATTCCAAATAAATATGCCCCCCTTTTTTGAGGGTACATCCTGAAAGAACTGGAAACCCACACAGCTGACACCTTTTTTGGGTTTTCGTCAAGGGCTGATTCTCATGGCCCACTGGATAAGCCCCTCTTGGAACATGGGAAAAAGGGCCCGGGTTTGTCTCATAGCGGAGCCCGTCAAGGGGCAGTTTCCTTTCAGCTTCCCTGTAAAACAAACCACCCAAAGCTTACCCTCGAAAAACGGCACACCCATACTAAAGTGAAGTGCCAGAATACGTTACTGCCTCAATTCCCCATACCACCTTCTCCCCCCCCAACTTGACTTGCGGCCACGAGGCAAAATGCGTACGGGCAAGGCCGCGCCGCGTGGCAAAAGCTGGGAGCAAGAAGAGGTTTGCAAGCGGCGAAGCTATCTGCAGTCAAGTGAGCAACGGTAGGGATCCAGTTGTTTGACCAGCCCGAGGAAGATTGTTCTCCAAAAATCGGGGAACGAACCATTGGGCGTGTGGGTGGGTACTGATTATCCACCTTGGATAAATCAAAAAATGGAAGCCTGAACAAGCAATTTCGAAACCCCAGTTCTCTATTCCAGGTCCAACTGACACACAGGCAATTTTCACTCGTCCTCACCTTGCGAATGCCTTCCAGGGCTCAGGTCCAAAGAGCCACCCAGTCCCTTTGCCAAGGCTTAGCTTTAGACCTAAAAGGAGTCGCCCCTTTCCAACATAAGCGGACTAGAAATCCTCTTCAAGGCCACCACAAACGTCCACGCCTCCGCTTGTAAGCCCTTTGCTAGCCTTGGGAAGGGGTCACTGAGGACCAGAGAGAGGAAAGGAAAGGAAGAAGGAACATGAATAAACTCGGCGTTTCTTTCAGGACGCTTTGCCACCCCTCCCAGTTACTCCTTGGGTGGCAGTTGGCGCGCCAGGGACCAGTACAAGTAGAACTGGCCTCGGAGCGGGCGTGCGAGGCATTGCCTTTCGTCCCCAGCCTTTTTGGATGTTTGAAGAGAAACCAGAAGGAAACCGCCCGGTGGGAGCACCATGGCCAGTGCGTGCCAAAGGTTGTCCCAACAGATTGTGGTTTCGTTGGCTTCCTGGAAGCCAATACGGAGCCTCACAGAAACAACACTTCCCACTTGGGAACTTAGCCGTGATGGGTTACCTCAACCACAGGCATGTGCTTGATTCTGGTCCATGGTGAGCCTAAAAACATGGAATATGATTTCTTTCTCTTGTCAGTTTTGCTTTCTCTTGTTGTTTGGGGTGGCTAAAGGGAAACCACAAAACCGCCCGTCTTGAGGGTGGCCCTATCTTTACACATTCAAAAGAGATCCGCTTGCCGGGCTCTGAACAGGGCTCCAGTAGAAGGAGACATCCGAAAACCAGGCGCCAAAACCAAATGGAGCCTCTGTAGAAAGTTCTTGTTGCTCATGGCCCACATGTCTCCAAACAGAGGGAGGCTGTTTTTTGCGGTGGTGGAAAAGGCGCCCCAGGTTGCCCAGGATTCCCATCAATTCTTTTTTTGCTCATGGCCCACATGTCTCCAAACAGAGGGAGGCTGCTTTTTGGGGTGGTGGAAAAGGCGCCCGAGGTTGCCCAGGATTCCCATCAATTCTTTTTTTGCTCATGGCCCACATGTCTCCAAACAGAGGGAGGCTGCTTTTTGGGGTGGTGGAAAAGGCGCCCCAGGTTGCCCAGGATTCCCATCAATTCTTTTTTTGCTCATGGCCCACATGTCTCCAAACAGAGAGAGGCTGTTTTTTGGGGTGGTGGAAAAGGCGCCCCAGGTTGCCCAGGATTCCCATCAATTCTTTTTTTGCTCATGGCCCACATGTCTCCAAACAGAGGGAGGCTGCTTTTTGGGGTGGTGGAAAAGGCGCCCCAGGTTGCCCAGGATTCCCATCAATTCTTTTTTTGCTCATGGCCCACATGTCTCCAAACAGAGGGAGGCTGCTTTTTGGGGTGGTGGAAAAGGCGCCCCAGGTTGCCCAGGATTCCCATCAATTCTTTTTTGCTAGGGAGGCTGCTTTTTGGGGTGGTGGAAAAGGCGCCCCAGGTTGCCCAGGATTCCCATCAAAATATTTTGCTCATGGCCCACATGTCTCCAAACAGAGGGAGGCTGCTTTTTCGGGTGGTGTAGAAGGCGCCCGAGGTTGCCCAGGATTCCCATCAAAAATATTTTGCTCATGGCCCACATGTCTCCAAACAGAGGGAGGCTGCTTTTTCGGGTGGTGTAAAAGGCGCCCGAGGTTGCCCAGGATTCCCATCAAAAATATTTTGCTCATGGCCCACATGTCTCCAAACAGAGGGAGGCTGCTTTTTGGGGTGGTGGAAAAGGCGCCCGAGGTTGCCCAGGATTCCCATCAAAAAAAAATTGCTCATGGCCCACATGTCTCCAAACAGAGGGAGGCTGCTTTTTGGGGTGGTGGAAAAGGCGCCCCAGGTTGGCCAGAATTCCCATCAATTCTTTTTTTGCTCATGGCCCACATGTCTCCAAACAGAGGGAGGCTGCTTTTTGGGGTGGTGGAAAAGGCGCCCGAGGTGCCCAGAATTCCCATCAAAAATGAGCAAAATAGTTTGATGGGAATTCTGGGCAACCTCGGGCGCCACCCCCAAAAAGCAGCCTCCCTCTGTTTGGAGACATGTTGCTTTTTGGGGTGGTGGAAAAGGCGCCCGAGGTTGCCCAGAATTCCCATCAAACATATTTTGCTCATGGCCCACATGTCTCCAAACAGAGGGATGCTGCTTTTTGGGGTGGTGGAAAAGGCGCCCGAGGTTGCCCAGGATTCCCATCAAAAATATTTTGCTCATGGCCCACATGTCTCCAAACAGAGGGAGGCTGCTTTTTGGGGTGGTGGAAAAGGCGCCCGAGGTTGCCCAGGATTCCCATCAAAAAAAAATTGCTCATGGCCCACATGTCTCCAAACAAAAACGGCTGCTTTTTGGGGTGGTGGAAAAGGCGCCCGAGGTTGCCCAGAATTCCCATCAAACATATTTTGCTCCTGGCCCACATGTCTCCAAACAGAGGGAGGCTGCTTTTTTGGGGTGGTGGAAAAGGCGCCCCAGGTTGCCCAGAATTCCCATCAAAAATACTTTGCTCATGGCCCACATGTCTCCAAACAGAGGGAGGCTGTTTTAGGGGGTGGTGTAAAAGGCGCCCGAGGTTGCCCAGAATTCCCATCAAAAATACTTTGCTCATGGCCCACATGTCTCCAAACAGAGGGAGGCTGCTTTTTGGGGTGGTGTAAAAGGCGCCCCAGGTTGCCCAGAATTCCCATCAAAAATACTGGTGTAAAAGGCGCCCGAGGTTGCCCAGAATTCCCATCAAGAATATGTTGCTCATGGCCCACATGTCTCCAAACAGAGGGAGGCTGCTTTTTTGGGGTGGTGTAAAAGGCGCCCGAGGTTGCCCAGAATTCCCATCAAACATATTTTGCTCATGGCCCACATGTCTCTCCCTGCTTTTTGGGATGGTGCCTTTTCCACCACCCCAAAAAAGCAGCCTCCCTCTGTTTGGAGACATGTGGGCCATGAGCAAAATAGTTTGATGGGAATTCTGGGCAACCTCGGGCGCCGTTTGCACCATCCCAAAAAGCAGGGAGAGACATGTGGGCCATGAGCAAAGTATTTTTGATGGGAATTCTGGGCAACCTGGGGCGCCTTTTCCACCACCCCAAAAAGCAGCCTCCCTCTGTTTGGAGACATGTGGGCCATGAGCAAAATATGGTTGATGGGGATTCTGGGCAACCTCGGGCGCCTTTTACACCACCCCAAAAAGCAGCCTCCGCAGCCAGGTTGGGACTTTCGGACCGCATGAGCTGGACGCACCCATCATGCCCCCACCGTTTGTTGGTTCAGAAAACCCCCCAACCCCCACCCCAAACAAGAGGAAAAAAGAAAAAAATGAAAAAAGACAAACACAAACAAAAAGAGAAACTCAAACAGCAAGCCACTCGCTTCCACCACAAGCTCGCATCATCGCATTAGGCAGCCTGGGTTCCCGCGCCCTCGTGCTCGAAGCCGTCGCTGCTCACGTGCTCTTCGCGCCAGGCCAGGAGCGTCAACTGCACCGGCGAAGCTCGAAAATGGACTGGGCTGTTCCCAGATCCCCTTCTAAAAGTCTATTTTTAGTGGTTTAGTGCAAACTACCACTAAACCCTAAAAACCTAAAACTGCAAGGAACCGGATGGCTGGGAACCACCAAGTTAAGGGGGGGCCCTTTTTAGTGTGGCTTCCTTTGGGGGACTCCCCTGATTAAGAACTGGCGGGGGTTACGAAGGGGCCATTTGAGGCGCCTAGTTCGTCTTATTCGCTGGTTTTTGTGTTTAATCTCAGAATCTCAGAAATCCTTTTCTCCACTGCAAATTAATGGAAGGAACCTCGAAAAGGGTCAAGAGAGGGCATTCCTCAAATTATGATGGCGTGTTTGGCTCCATGTTTCATAGGCAGAAAAGCGTTTTTCTAAAGTTCGTACCAGAAAGCAACATAATGCGGGTATGTGCTTGCTTGAGGCCAAGGATGCCCTTTTCAGGTGGGAAAGCGAAACTACCCATCTTGCGGCGTCCCTGAGGTGGTGTTCTTTGAGGTTTTCTTGTGCAACCACAAAGAAAGGAATTCAAAGGGAAACTACATTTTGTTGCGTTCCCTGTTCCATTCAATATGTCTCTTTTCGGGTACCCCGCTGTAAAACCACAAAAACAACAACAACAACAAAAAAACGGGCACCCTCCAAAACGGACAGACCCAAAACCCGACACGACCCTTGGCCCGCCCAAAGCCCCCGAACCGAACCGAAGCCGCACCACTGCGGCTGCTGCCACCTGCAAGTCCTGCGTCAAAAGAAAACGGCAAACCGAAACCAACGAAAGAAGCCCAAGGAAAAAACGGTTCAAACGGCTTGAAGGGTTGAGATGGCGCAAAAGGGCGAAGAGGTCAAAAGGTTTTGTAAGGTGTACAAAGGTTTGAAAGTTGAGGTGGCTGTTTTTTTCTAGCCCCGGCTTTTTACTAACCCCGGCTCCAAGTCCTGTCCTCCTAAGCAGTTGGCTGAGAACCATGCTTCGACGCCAAGCTCTTGCAAGTTGCGTCCTCACAACTGAGCTGTGAGCTTGTATCCTAGACTGGTGGCTGAGAACCATGCTTCGACGCCGAGATCCTGTGCTTTTTAACAGGGACTCCCTCGTCTTTCACCCCACCGAGTCTGTTCGCCCTTACGCTGGCTAAGTGCAGGCTGCCAGCTCTGCTTTTTGCCACTCTAGATATCGCTTCTGATTTTTCAGAGCTCTACATATGGCTTTTGCGTTTAGGAGCTTTCGGAAGCTCACACGCACATAGGCCTTGGGACTCTACTGCTTACGATCCGCTTGCAGAACCTGCCTGCAACCGTGTGTAGCCCGCCCACCAGGCCGCACACAGCACGTTTTCTCGGCTCGGGGTTTGGCACGGAGGTCACGCCATACTGTATCTGTGTGTCCACTTGCAGGATCTCGGGCGACACTGCTTTGGCCCCAACCACCTGCACTTGTTGGCGATGACATGAGCTTGAACAAGCTCTGCGAAACGAGATGGAGCTAGGTCAGCGTTGCGCAGCGCATGCGTGTGGCGCAGATGGCTTGCTTTAGCTGCCCGGCCCTCTCGCGCTGCGTTGCCTCGGCACCTGTCATGCGCTGCTGCAGCCCTTCACGCACGGCTTGCCACATATGGAAGAAGTCACCTGCTCGCACGCTTTGCGGGAAGACCTGCCTACGCACTTTTTCGACCGCGCTGGACCAATCACCATGCACTTGCCTGACCACTTGGCCCAGTTCGACACCGTTGGACAGCAATTCCGCGAGAAGCGCTGCGGTTGCAACTTTTGGCCATTCGCCGCCGTGGTGTCACGGTATGCCTGCGTCAGGACCCCGAATGGGATCCCACAGAAGCTGCCGACTACATCCCTGAACGTTGCGTCTGCTGCAATTTTCACGTAAGCTGGGCTAGCAAGTCTTCGTGGCAGCAAGGACGCAATGCTGATTGCTGCAGCAAGCCCAAGCTTGCCATCATCCAGTGGCGGAGCAACAGCAGGTCGTGCCTTCGCTCACGCGGCACCGACTGCTGCGCAAGCTGCAAGCACATCTTCTGCTGTCCACTGCTATCCACTTTCTCGCGCTTTGCAGCATTTTTGATGAGGTTTCTCACTTGCTGCTCATTCGGCTGCTAATGAGGCGGTCAAACGTCCCAGGGCACTGTTACTTTTGGAATGCAACAGCCGCGTTCGTTGTTCTGTTGTCCCACCAACCTTTGCTTGCAAGGCATCGTGCAGCCCACATCCTTGCAGCTGGTACATCTTCGTGCTTGGAAAGTACTCTGCCACACCCTCCCGCTCTTGCTTGCGCAGGAAGTGCACTGGAGCGTGACATAGCAGTCAGCTTCTCGTTTCTTCGTTCTGCGAAGGCCGGGCTGCAAGCTTACTTTAAATCGCGTGCGCTAGGCTACACACAACGCACCTTGCACATACTTGTTTGCAAAGCCACCAAATCTTTCGTTGTAGTCAAAGCCTCGCTGCGCACCAACTTGGCAAGCACAGGCCACTCCGCTTCCGCACCGCACGCACGCATTTTGGCTCTGGCGCAACGGCGCGCGTTCCCACTTCGAACACTGTAAACAAGTGCTGCGTTGAGCTCCACTCTGCTGCGCACACTGCATTGCATCGAGGCTGGTGGCCTTTCTTGTCTCCAACCCCAGCGCACAAGCATTCAAGTCGTGGAGCTCGGGTCCACCTTTTGCGGCTTACTGTGACGCGGAAGCCACTGCCATGAATGCGCTTCGGTAAGTGCTCGTGTCCCCGCTCAACTAAAGCCGCCCACTGCTCTTGGAGCGGCATGTCCTCTGCACGCGCCCGCTGCAAGCGAATCGCTCGGGCTGCCTGGGCAGGCTGAATCTGCGCCTTTGCAGCGGCTGGTCGCTTCATCAACGGCACGGGCTCCTCGCGGCCTTCTTCCGTGCGGGCCGGAAATGTTGACGGGTCCACGCGCAACCGCTGCGCTGCAGCCAGCAAATTCGTGCTTTGCGCAGCAACTCATCCCACCGGCCCCGGCGCACTTGCCCAAAACCCATGTCAGCAACGCGCTGCAGCACTGCCTGTCGCTGGTCGAAAGCGTGATCTGCCGTTTCTGCGCGGCGTGTTCGGCACTTGCCGAGCTTGTTGCGCAGGGCTGTCTGCGTGATGACTGGCTGTGGGCATGCACGAAGCACTTCCGCCACCTCTTCCTCCTCCACCGACAGTCGGGCAACCGCCCTGGCTTCCCGTCGCCCTGCTTCTTGCGCCCTAGCTTCCTCATCCAGCACTGCCCCCGCCAGTGGTCACAGTTGAAAAAAGCGCAGTGAGCCCTTGCACGCGTCCCCTCACTGCGTGCTCACACATGCCGCGTACCCTGGCAGCCAGTAGATGTTTTTGCCTAGCACTGTGCGCAAACCGTAGCTTTCAGAGCGCCGGGATTGGACCTATTTGGTAGTCCATGGTGGCGTGGGCTGCAGCAGCAGTTGGCACGAGGCGCATTGCCGCCCTGTCTGCGTTGCTGTTTGGCCCGCACTCCTGCGCTGCGCGTTGCCAAGTTGTTTGCGGCAAGGGCTGCGCTTCTGTGGTTACCGGCCGCCGGCGACTCTGCCGATGAACCCCAGCTGCCGCCGCGATTCTGCTAATCACGGATCTTAGTATAGAGGCTCTATTTAAATCTAGAATGGAGCTGGTGTAAACTTGAAGATGGGACACAAAACAGAGGAATGATGCACAATGGCCTGGTGGCAGGTGGGACATCTTTCAAGAAGCATGTGCTTTGGACTTGCAGGGACGGAACACTAGGAATGATATGCCAAATTTAGATCCTGGGAAGCGCGTGCTCAGCGTGTATATATATATATACATATATATATATATATATATATGTGTGTGTGTGTGTAATGACCCCACAAACGCGGCTGTGGGAGGGTACCTGGAAGACCAGTTTGCTCTTAAGACGCCTGTAAGGCGCCTGCTGTTAGTGGGAGGGAGTGTAGATAGGACTTATTCATTAGTACAATTGGGTGTTCATCTGCACATGAAAAAAGTGACGATCTATATTCTTTAAACACATATAGTTGAGCGCTATATATGATAATATATATATATGTACACCGGCATGTGACGCATCGAAGGCTATGGCTTGCTAGAAGACACTGTGGTGTTGGTCCGCAGCTGGGTCTGCTTGCCTCGTTGATGGGCGAGGCGCTGCTCCACCTGCACTCACCGCCCATATCTGTGTATTCTTTCTTGTCCACGCGACCACTGCTGGGAAAGTCGGGGGACAACTGGTTCGTGGCTTCTGCGCTCAGAAATGCAACGTGCGCTCTCCAAGCGCGGGCACGTTCGTTGAAACTGCCATGGGAGCCATCGGAATGGATGTTTGCGTTCGGCAAGTGTGCGAAGGGGAAATGTTCCGGAACAGCTTTCGTTGCCTCCAGGAACAAACTTCGCATCATGTTAAAGCTCGGCGGCTTTCCTACCGTGACGTCCCGCTTGCCTACAACGAGCCCTGCCTCATTCTTTGCGCACCCTCCCTCACCCCCCCTTCCCCCCCTCCCCCCCTCCCCCTTCCCCCCCCCCCGCCCCCCGCCCCCTCTCCCCCCCCTCCCCCGCCTCCCCTTTCCCCCCGAACCAACCAAGCCAAGCCAAGCCCAGCCCAGCCAGGCCACGCCAAGCCCAGCCAAGCCAAGCCAAGCGCAGCCAGCCAACCAACCAACCACAGCCAACCCCAGCCAAGCCCAGCCCGCCCGCCCGCCAGCCAGCCAGCCAACCAACCAACCAACCAACCAACCACCCACCAGCCAACCAACCAACCAACCAACCGACCAACCAACCAACCAACCAACCAGCCCGCCAACCAGCCAACCAACCAACCAGCCAACCAACCAACCAACCAACCAACGCCGACCAGCCAGCCACTCGGCCGGGGTTAGGCCCCGAGCCGGGGCTAGTAAAAAAAAAACACCGGTTCCGTTTGAAAGGTTTGAACGAAACCAAAAGTGTTGAAAGGCTTGCAAAGCTTTTGGTCGAAGGTTGAAAAGGACGCAATGTTCCTGTGGGTTTCTCTTTGAACACTGGGCGAAACTTTTGAACACCGCCACGGAGTCGCAATCCAATCTGGAAAGGGACTTGCCAGCAATTTCCCCGAATTGTTATACTACAATCTCTTTGGCTTCTTCCGCGACATCTTAAGCAACTTAATAGAAGAGGCTATTACCTAAACTTCGTATACGACGATGTCTTCAACTACTTTCATTAAAACAAGGTAAACAAATCATACCCCCCAAGAAAACAAACCCAACTAAAACTAACAGAATAAAAAAAAAATAAACAACAGAAAAACAAATCAATTTCCAAATCAAATCATTGAAAAATTATATGGGCACCCATTTGGGCTGCAAACGTCGATGAACCACCCAAGCTGTTTTGAGTGTGGCCCATGAGGAGTCACTGCAGGGCCCTAAACATTGCACTTTACGTTGGGACCCAACCTGGCAACGAAAACTGCCATGCTTCAACCTCACGCGCTGAACTGGCGGCCAAAAAAACGGGAGTCGGACTGGTTGCTTCCCACTATGACTCAGAACATCTCAGAACCTAAGATCAAGAATCGGATGAGTAACAAGCGTGCCACATGTTCATTCACAGGGACTGGCCCCATTATTCTGCCATGGTCAATGTCAACCCCCGGAAGTGGTAGGTTAACGGGACAACCCTAGTTTCTGACTTTGAGAGCACCCCCAGAAACAATCAAAACAATGACCCCGGACCCAGTGTCACCAACGTAAAGTCCAGAGACCAACGCGAGGTCTCCGAATCTTCAGCCAACCACTTGGATCCCCTCGGAACACCCTGGAAGATAACCCTCAAAGAACAAAACTCCTTGCCTTGGACTTGAAGGACGAAAAACTCGCGATGTTGGGGGTCAAAAACCCTATGTTTATCTGGTAGCCGTGAAAACTGGAGGCCCTCCCGCCCTTCCGATGGAGGGTGTCTATCTCCCGTTTGAATAAGGGCTAGAGAACCGGAGCTTCCTTCACCCAATCATGGTAGTGGACAGGAAGTCAGAAACCTTCCGCCAAAAAATGAGCGCCAGAGGCGCAGCCTCACACCTTAGCCTCAACACGGTGAAAGGTCTGCGTAACTAGATGCCCTGGTCTGGGGTCTTTCTTTAGGGAACACGTTTTGGTTTTGGAGACCCATGCCATTTTGGATTTGAAGGCACACCCAAATACAGGCCCTGAACTAGTGGCGCTGGCTTAGCTGCTGGGCCTTCCTTCTCTACAGGTGAGGAGTCGCCTTTCCGGCCCCCACACGCTCACACGTCCCACGCTCCACTCACACGAACGCCCTCCTGCGCGGTCGCGTTGCCCGCAGCGCCCAGCGGGAAGGAGATGTTCCATCCCTCGCCGGGTGCGAAGGCCACAGGCGCAGAGGCGGCCAAAGGGGCGACAAAAGGGGCGGCGGCCCGCCCAAACCGGGGAAGGGTGGCTGGCTTTTGCCTGGTTTATGTTTTTCTACTTTTTTTTTTATATTTTTCTCGGGTTTCTTGGATGTGCGGCCAATCTTCGGCGCACCTTTTGGGGGGGTGCCCGGCTTTTTTGTGGGAAACCACTGGAGTCAGGGGCAAAGTTGGATAGGATCTTCCGCCGAGCGCAACCTCCTGCGGTTCTACCCTGCTCTGTTATATAACTGAACACCCAGGTACACCACGGGTTTGCGTTTGGCTTAGCCCGACCCCAAATATACCAAAAATCACATCTTCAGATCCTGTTCCATACTGTGAATGAACACAAATCCTTCAGCAGCTGGGTTTGTCCCTGCATTCATAGGGTGTCATTCAGGTTTTGTCCATGTCAACCGGTGCAGATTCTTGGCCATCCACAGTATTTTACTCTACCCCAATTTACATATTGTGTTTTGAGGAGTCACCGAACGGAGCTCCTCTTGTTGCGCACTCACAAGATACCCACCTACTCCTAATACGCGCTTGCTTCCCTTTGGGCCCAATTGAGGAGACACCCGCTGGCAACTCCTTCTCTCCCAACAAACATGCTCAGGGGAAACAACGTGACTTTTGCAGGCTTCACATAAAACAGATATTGGAAGTGTGGATTTCCGCTCAAAATCACAGCCCCTGAAAGACCCACAAAGTCACCTGCACTTCGATACCATGTTCTTACTTGTGCCCCCTTGCCATTGCTTGCAACTCCAAAGAAGAACCACTGGCATAAACTATGTACACACACAGCATGCTTGAAAACCTCCGCCAAATGCAGTAACGCCCCAAATAAGGCCCTGACGTGGAGGCTTGGATTGCTCACGGACCCCCTTGAGAGAACAGGCGTCGACATTCTCCAAAGAACAGCCCTGAGCTGTGTCCTTCTCAAAACTGAAACAACACAACAGGCCAGCCGAAAAAAGGGGCCCTCCAAACAAACACGAAAAGAATCAGAAGAAGAGAAAAAAAAAAACGCGGTTGCAGCATTCTCCCCGTGAGCCTGGTCGACAGGGCGACCTGTCGCCCCCTGCCTGCGAGTGCTCGCATGTGCGCCAGTCTGTGCCAGCCCAGCGCTTGTTCCGCTTCGCGAGCTGGCGGGCGGAGGCAAGGCGGTTCCCTGCGTTCCCCCCTTGACGCCAGGGAAATATAGGGAACCCCTCGCCAAGTCTGCGACATATGGGCCATGAACACTGTTCACTGTGTGCCCTGACGCGATTGCGGTGAGTCCTCAATGGCTCCCAATAGTCACTAGGCTGCAACGGCTCCCCCTCATATGGCTCTGAATATGAATGAGGCTTCGCCTCCCTGTGCCTACCACGGAAAAAATGTATCTTGAAGCCAGGGAATAATCGGGCCAATACAAACTAGCGGCCGGCCCGAACCAGCGTCCCCACTTGATACGCAGGTCGACACGCCAGGCGGAGTGAGGGGCAGCCACGCCTTCCAAGCCTTACCGCTGTAACCAATTGCATGGGCGGGGCGATGCCTTGCGAGTTGGGCGTCTAAATCCAAAAACTCCTTCAGGATGGTGCATTGCACTGATACCAAAAGAAACAAGAACCACTCCATTCCAAGGGGTCCCAACCATTCCTCATCAGTCGAGTTTCCCCGTCTGGAGTCCTCCTAGCATACGGAGCCATGCCCTTGCAAGTATCAAAATGAGGTGCGGTTGGACGCATGCTGCATTTACATAATACGCAAAAAAGAATGGAAAGCTCAACGAATCCGCAACTGGAGGGCTAGACATCTATTCGAAGCCCCTGCGCTTTACCCAAACCGACGAATCTCAAGGGGCCTATGGATTCTCGAGGTCACTTGAGTCAAAACATCGATTCAAACCCAACGAATCACATGGTGCAGACTGTCCCCTATCCCTTCATTTAACCAAGTGTGCATTAGTGACTCAAAGCAAGTGGCAGATAGGTGAAATGCCCCTTGAAACAGAACAATGTTCATGTGAGTGAATTTTCAACCGCGCCAAAAAGAACGGGGGACCCTAAAACTGGGTTGAGGTTGGCCTTTGGGTTTCCTTCAAAAAAGGGTACCCTCAAAACCACATGCAACATGTATGGATCGTTTTTGGAGGCGGGCCCGCATGGCACGTACCCAGGTAAGGGGCTTTCATGGGCCAAATGGCCAAATCTTACCAGGTGAGTCCTCATAACTTCAGCGCTCTCGCAAAAGATACATCCCAAGAAGATCACAAATGCTTCAGCAGGGTAGATCACATGTTTCGCAAAATGGGTCCTCCAAATCAGACGGTACATGTGATTCTCGACAGGGTCTGAATTTGCCCAGAGAGACCAAAAATCCCACCGACTGGCGACTGGCGGCTCACGGCTCGAGCGCGCCGCAAAGGTCTGGGACCGCAAAGTGCCGGGCACAAAGGAGGTGAAGTTGATCTGCGGGTCAACGTCTTCAGGTGGGTGGCTTACCTACCCCCAAAAAAAGGTTTGTAAGGAAGTGTCTACCCGAATCCAGTATCCTGGTGTGTGCAGTGAGAGGTATGGGGTCTGAAAGATAAACCTGACATGGAATCTAAGTGGTCAAATTATGTTCATGCGAGAATCAGTTTATGTGGGTTGTGTGGTAAAGGTGTTGGCTTTTATACCCTCCATATAAGTTAAGAAAGTGTAGACGCAGTAAGCCGAAGCCTCCAAAGTCTATACGCCAAAATGTCCCAGAAGGTCACCGTGTTGAAAAGGGAGGGCAATTGAAAAAAAAACACGAGCACAGCAGCAAGAACGTGTTGACAAAGAAGTGGAAGATCCCTAGTCCACATGAGGGCAGCAGATTGTACCCATTCCTTGCTTTTGAGCATGACATGTTTCGGCTTTAAGTTCCCCATCCCGTTTTAATTGTCTGGGCCCAATTGTTACTAGGGCTCTCATTCCAACTACTTGGGCCAAATCAAGCCATACTCAGAAGAGAAAACTGAGTGTGAATATGTGGCTCCTTATAATACCACCGTAGCAGGTAGCAAGAAAACAAATCCTTGTTGCCTAACTGGAGGCTCCTTTCAGCCGCATCTTTCTCCCAGTTGGTGTGTCAGACTCAAGCGGGCAAAACATGGCCGCTTCAGAGGCAGGCCGTCAGACCTGTGGATGTCCAGAGCAAACGGAGCATCCCCCTTTGGGTATACTGCGGGCAAAGAGGAGCACAAGACGGGAGATGAACCAGCAGGACGGGAACCTATTTATTCAATTCCAATGGATTCCTTGATTTGCTGGTAGGTGACTTCAATAGGATCAAACTGCCCGGCGCACCCCAAGTCCCTTTTAAGGCAAGGCCGACTTGCTAGCCACATACTTGCCAGAGTCTTCAATCATGCCGGGAACCCTTCAAAGTCCAGTCCTGAGCTCGGGCCAGAAAACGATTGAACATGTTGGGCCTTTACTTTCTAAGTACAGGTGCACGATCTGAGACCCTCAAGATATAATGCTTGATGCGTGGGGGCGCAACAGGGAAGTCTACCTTGGTCAGCACGTGATGCTTTGGATTGGTGGGAAGCGTGGTGTCCCATGTACCCACCCGAACCAGGGGGTCAAATTTTCACCGATCCCAAAGTTGAAAAAAGAGCGGAATCCCTGAAAGTGTGTCACTCGCAGTGTGGAGTGGCCCGCAACCAGACACTTAGGTTTGGTGCTCCGTTTGTTTGATTGCTCGACGGCAGACTTACGCCCCAAGATTGGCTCATGCCAAGAATGAATCCCCAGGTTCAAGCCTACCTTGGGGGTAGTCAAAAATACAACCCTGCTGCTGTTTTCTGCAACCGTAGGGACCTTTCTGTGAACCTGCTTCGGCCATGTTTGGCAGCCAACAAAAACCAGCTTCACTCCAAAAGTGGCGGCTTCAGTCAAACCCCGCAGTCAACTGCAACTTGTATGGAGTGGAGTGTGGAGTGGAGTGTGGCTAGGAGGCGCCATGGTTTGCGGCTCTCCTCCACTTGGGTGTTCAAGCTGGCTACAGCGCACCTCAGGCTCAGAGACCCAAGTGTGTGTGGCCCAGAGAAGTTCCACTGCCTAGTCAGGCCTGCAACCCGCACCAGTCGCCACCAGTCGCGAAGTCGCGAAACGCGACTGGCCGAAGGGCAAGACAGCGTGACATCCTCGAAGGGCAGCGCTTACTCGCAGGCTCCTCCCAACGTAATCCCTCACGTAGTACTCAGCCGCAACCACGACCGGGCCTCGTCCTAGCCTAAGGCAAAAGAGGGCTCACACATGGGCACTGTGGGCAGCGAGACAAACCCAACGCAGCAAAATGCCGCGCGGCTTGGGCGCAGCCATGACCACCCCTGTTTTAGGTTGGCTCTTGCTAAAGGGTGAAAGTTGGTTGAATCATCGCCTGTATACACTGACATACAGTAAATTGCGCCATCTACTTGCACCTCGGAGTAAGGGACGGCCCCCTAAGGGGTAAGGATCTAACCCAACCTCACTTACCACCCATATTCCAAGGATAATCCAATCTTTGCTGGGATCGGAAATGTCCGGAAAACTACCAACTGTTTCCTGCAGATTGAAAGGGACACCTCGTTTCCAGCCGGTTTTCAGGTGGCAGGTTCGAGTTGGGAGTTGGGTGTCTCTTTTTGAAGGTACCTCTTTTTTGGTCGTTTCAACTTGTTTCGTGGTTTCAAATGGAAACCAAATGGCAAACCCGCCATTTGAGGGTCCAGTTCGACCTTTTGCTTCCCAACCCTCGGCCTCGCGAGTCGGTCTCGAGGCGTCGAGGCGAAACCGAAGCAACGCCTCTGTCTCCGGCAAGCGGTACTGACTGGTCTCAGCCACCAAGGTGCCGTTGGCATGCCTCGGATTCACATTTTTTTTCAGGGGGGCAATCCGATTTCAACTTGCATGTTGAAACCATGGGTGTCCTTTTGGGGCAAATGGATGGCCCTGGTAGATGATTAAACCACCAGGTAAACCAGGGCCCCCTATTTTTTGAGCAAATCAACCAAAAAGGACACCTATGGTTGCAACACGCTTGCAGGCCCGGTACCCTTTCCGGGGCGGGTGGGGGGGGGGGGAATTGAAAAGGGCCAAGGGAAAACTATGTCTGGCTGGCTGGAAACCTCCATTTTGCTCAGTTCGTTGGTCTATCCCTCTGTGTCCCTTTGACCAAAAGGGATCCCAAGTCTCACATGCACTGGCCCCCCACCGACTTTCGGAAAGCGGACAATTCCAGGTTGTTTTTCTTACCGGCCAGTACTTTTGGCGATCATTTCTGCGGAATGTACGACACCGTCCCTCAAGACTGTCCGAAACATCCGCCCGGGAACCCAGGAAGGAGTGCGTCCTGAACCTGGAAAACGAGAAACATTTTATTGGATGTCGCGAAAAGAGAACAAAGGGTTCAGGGGTCCAAGCCTTATCCAAACCAACCATTCCGCGTCACAAATGCCCCAATGTCAATTTCGGAGAAACAAATGGAGGGCAAAATTATTCAGGCGAGTTGTTCTCTTCTTCTGAGAGAATTCATTCATGTTGGAGTGATTCCAAGATTTGTATGGTCCTCCTGCCGCTGAGGCGACAAGCCGAGCTGCTTGATGAGGTACTGGTAGAAGACCGCAGTCGCGGTCTGCGCGCAAGCACTTTTAGCCGGAAACGCTTCGTCTCAAAAGAGAAGAACATGGGTGTCGTTTGTTGAGGGACCCTTGCTGGGATTCTGTTCAAAAGGACACCAAAAGAAAGTAATTATGGGGGACCCATATATTGAGAAACATCCATATCCTGTTGTGGGCGGGAAACCAAAAGGAAACGTGCCACCCGGAGGGATAGGAAAATATGTCACTTGCGACATCACGTCTTTTCAGGAGTTTATCCCAAATGGCATGCTTGCTAGGCCGGACACCCCCCAACTAATCGCGGGGTGATTCATGGACATCTTGATTTGGATCGGGGGCTGCTTCCTTTAGTGAGGATTCAGACCACCACCCCCCCCCTATTGATAGGACGGGTTTTGTATTTCGGGGTCAATCTTCATGATGTGTGCCCGTTACGACTGCCAAAAGGCTTAGATGGACAACAAAGGCAACCGATCCTCATCCGCCACCGCCCCAATACGTTCGTGCTCATGGTTAAGACCACCCAAAAGGGAAGTGAGGCCCCTTCGGAAGGAACCTGATCGCAAGGCTTGGCAGAGTCGGTCCGAGTGTATCTCTCCCCCGGCCTGATTCATGTGGCTGTGGGTCAACAATCAGTACCAAAATAAACCCAACTGGCAGCATGGCCCAAAACCTGCAGGCCATATCCTGGTGGCTTGACCCCTACCCATGTCCCAGAGGGTTCAAGTACCTTCCGACAATGGCTTCCCGGAGGTGAGAAGGGGTTCAAGTACCTCCTGAGAAGGTACGTGGACCCTCTGGGTGTTGGCAAAGGCCCCTTGCAAAGGTGTCAGGACCAAAGGTGTCCTTTTGGAAAAATAGATGACCCTGGTCTTTTTGCAATAAAACCAACCTGAACCAGGGCCATCTATTCTTGAGCGCACTAGCCTAAAAAGGACCCCTATGGTCATGACGTCTTCCGGCCAACCTGAGCCAACCTGAGCCAGCCATCGCTCACGCGCGCGCTAAAGTGCGCCTCGCCCACGTCGTGGTCCACGGCGGTGGACTGGGCGCCGGGCGCCATGTGGTTCACCTTCACGATGGTCTCCTGAAACCGACACACACAGTCGTCAGGCGCGACGGTCTGCGAGGCTTTAGGGATTTCAGGGTTTTGGACTTCTAAGGTTTTTGTTGGTCTTAGCGTTCTTTCAGGGTTAGGATTTGAGGTTTGAAGTTCGAGGTTTGGGCTTTGGGTTTTGGGTGTTGGGCTTGGAATGCCCAGCCAACTGACCCATGCCTTTACCATGTTCAAAGCCATCCCCCAAGTAGCCTGAATGGTACACAACCCCAGTTTTGCTGATGTTGATGCCTCTAGAAACGGTCAACAGAATCACCCCAGTCCTGGTTGAAAAGCACGGGGGCCAAGGCTTCCCCCCATTGCTCCATAAGGTTTGGGGGCCAAGGCTCCATCAATCCGCCTGTCCTCGATGCTGTAACGCATGACGTTCATGCAGTTAAACCTGAGCCAGATGGGCCGGAGGTTTCAGATGCTTCGGTTCCCAGAAAGGAGATGGGATGGGTGAGCCCCCTTGACCGTGGTGCAGAAAGAAAGTTAATGGGAACCGGAAATTTTCGTCCCATTGTAGAGGGTGATTAAATCAAACCACATGGCAATGTGGCCTTTTCTCTCGGGCAAATCCGGTTCGGACCTCGAGCTCCCTGTCCTCAGCCTGCCCCTAGCCCCAAGCAATCGCTTGGAGGCCCGACAGCTCGAAGACCACGGTGTTCAAAGTCATCTTCTCTTTCAAGGACTGGGCGACAGGACTCCCCTCCCGCCACTTCTCACAGCGCGGATGTCAAAACCGGAGTCTGCCCCGAAAACACGCACCTGAAAGGGCGGTTCCAAAAAATACAAGCAAAATCCAGTGACGGATGAACTTGCATGATATCCAGAAATGTTGCGACTATACTGGTGAGTTCCCATAACACTGCCACTTCTGGAGCCCCAAAAATTGCCAAAACCCAAATTCCCGGGATTCCGGTCTAGGTTCCCGACCCCCTCAGACTGGGTTCCCAACCCCCTCAAACAAGAAACTGAAAAAAAAAGAAAAAGAAATCCCTCGCCGGGTTTCGGTCCAGGTTCCCCATTTGTTCTCTTCCTTTCGGCTCGCTTCACCGCAGCTCCCACCCCCTTCAAACCCCACCCATTGTCGCACACTAGATGTCATTGATGCCCTTATAAGTGCTTACTTTGGTATCACAGCATCTTAGCCCCTCTGGAAAACACCCTGAAATTTATGCGTTCAGTTTCCTATTCAGCCCACAGCAAACAAATCTTGCTTTGGAGAATTCTGCTTTCCACGGCTCAGTTTCCTATTTGCCCATATTCCAAAGAATACATATCGGTTTGGAGAACTCTGCCCCTGTTTTCCACGGCCCGCTTGGACTTCCCAACCTTCTTGCAGCAGACCCCACGGCCTTCCTCGGGTTCCCCGGCGGCGAAGCTGATGCTGCCCTTGCCCCAGAGCGCCTCAGCTGTTTCCCAAGGCGCCCGTCACGACACGAATCCGCCAAAAGCCGTAGGCAGGTGACCGGTTTCGGATGGGCGGATGGGCACAAGGGCCTCCAGAAGTAGAAGCCTTGGGTAGACCTTGTTTGTCATGGAAAGCCAATGTGAAGTATGGCAGGGTTTCCACACGTTTCAACCCCAGCAACCCAACAGGGTTTTTGCCCCTCCCAGACTACCGAGAGACCGCCAATCATATTGCCAGTTGCCCAGGTGGCAGTCCTTCGGCCTGTGTCAAAAATGATGTGTGCCAATCCCCCTTTATTGGGAACCTTAACATTGGCTATCTAAAGCCCCGAATATCCTTTCCGGGGGGGTCCCACATTAATTTGCAAAAACTGAGCTTGATGACCATCCCGACCTACTCCAAGTAAAGAGGGTCAGTTGAACATGGGCTCTCTATGTTTCTTCTTTGAACATCACCCCACGAGGAAACTCAATTTCATTTGGCAACCCAAAGGTAGAATGTGGGCTTCTCGAAATAGGAAACCCCCAAAACGGCAATGGGTTTCCTTGCGGCTTCCCGGCTGGCTAGGCCCCGGACGTGATCAATGCCGAAGTCGATGCCGCCCTTGGAGTTTAGGGACCACCTGCGGGCAAAGAGCAAGGTGAAACCTGCTCGCGAAAACCGAAAACCAGCCGCCAAAAGGATACCCTCGGTAAAAAAGCAGCGGTAAGGTGAACCCGCCACACTTTTGTGCCGCTGTACCCAAAAAAAGACATGGAAGGCTCTCTGTGCGGGAACCTGGCGGTGTTCCAAGATGAGAAGGGAACCCCGAGAATCCTGTTTTCTCGACCTCCCCCGCCGCTTTTTTTTTCCCATGGACGCCATCTCCGCATCTCGCCCCGCCGCAGCCCGGCGAAAGACGCGGCCGCCTCAGCAGGTTCCGCAGCCCGGGGGACTCGCTCCAGGAGCCCAGGCCCCCGCCGTTGCAGGGCGGCCTCGGCCAGCCCAGCCGGCGCGTCTTTTTCGGAGCCCCGTTTTGGTTGGGTGAAACCAAAGGGAAACCGAAAGGAAACGGAGGGGTCCCCAACAAAAAACAAAAAAACAGTTCAGTTCAGTCAGCTTGTCGGGTGAAAGTTGAAACCCCCCCATTTTGACACGCCTAACTCCTGCTTTCGGAGTGGAGGTGTGGAGGCGTTTCGGGCTGGTTGTCCATTTCTAGAAATTCGAACTCAATCCAAACCACCAATTTGATAATTAAGGCCTGATAGTTCAGGGCTGCCTGATTCAAACAAAATATAACATTGAAAACCTGCTTTCTCACATTTGGTACCAGGGTCGAACCGATGACTCTGGGGTTCCACCAGTTTTTGTCCGCTTCCCACTGCCCTCACACCTTTTGGCCCCACACGTGATGAACACCTCGGAGGCGAACGTCACGTTCGGGCACCTGGCCACAAAGCGCTTGTGGGGATCCCCGAAAAAGGCATTGCTTTTGTCCCATTTTGAGGTTCTTTTCCGGGGTCTCTGAACTCCTGCTGTCGTCCGCAAACTTGGCCAGGCGACTCCGATTCGTGCGGGTCCCTGCAGGAAACCCAAACGCGCAAAGGGCAGAAAGGTCCACCCAGTAACCCAACCAGTCAGCATCTTTAGAGTTGTTGGGGCAAATCAAACGATTTGCCCCAATTCAAGGGCGGGGTTGCGGGTTGCGGGTTGCGCTAAGGAGACCACGGGATTCAAAGCGGCCATCGTTCTCCGAGAAAAGTCCCCAACAACGACTCGTGGCAAACGAAAGGGCCCATTCTCCTCGTGGCAAGCTTGGGACCCAAAGCAAATTTAAGTCTGGCTCTGTAGATGCCAAATACCAACTCAAAAGGGCATGTCGAACTTTGGTACTCCTTTGCAAATTAACACAGAACCCAAAAGGGTGACCCCCAAAAAGGAGGCCTTCTTAAAATTATGTCTGTTGTCGGTTCCATGTCAATCTGCGGCCAAGGTGCTGCGCTTGGAAGGAAGCGTCCACCTCTTCCTGCGCAAATCAATGAGGGTGGTGTGTTTGTGTGTGTGGAGTTGGCACGCGTTTCACCATGCGTTCAACGGAAACCGAAAGAAAACCACCATTTGGGTGGACCTCTTGACACATAGCCATGAGGACTTGTTTGTCGCCGTGTCTTTCTTTTTTCAGGTGGCCCTTTCTTCTGGTCTGAAGGAACGGCATGGCAAAAATCCCGGCCGCTTGCTAAGGCTTTTTCGCTGAACTCAAACAGACAAGCAAGCAAGCAAGCAAGCAAACAAACAAGCAAAAAAACAAACAAACAAACAAACAAACAAACAAACAAACAAACAAACAAACAGGAACCCTTCACTTAACCAAAACCCGATGTGAAGAATCACAAGGGCTTGCAGCACGCATTCCGGGCAAATTTCATTCCCTGGAATTAAACAGGAAGTCCGTGCTCTCAGAAGTCCCTCTAACATGGAAGTCCCTTCACCGTCTTTTCCTGGGGAAATGCCTGTCTTTTTTACTGGGAAGGTACGACCATCTCCTAACATGGAATCTGTGCCAGGTGCCCCTCGCCACGGCAATCCTGGGGTTTCCCAACACAACCCTAGATTCTTCAGGGGGCCGGTTTCGAGCCTGCACTTCCATGTAAACGAAAAAACGTGAGTGGACACACGCGTTCTGACCGACGAAAGTGTCCTAACATAGAACCTGAAAATGGGCCCTGCACTTCCATGTAAAGGAGCACACGTGTGCTTAACATGGAAGTGCAGGCTCGTCGTTTGCCCTATTGTTTTTCGGGGGTCGATAGGGAAACTATGATTATGTTAGGAGCAGTTTCGCATATCCCTGAGAAAAGTCGTGAAGCGGCATTTCCCCGGTACGCTTAAAATTGCGGTGTGTCCGCCCGCTACTGCTAAAAATTGCTGTTTCCGAGTCAATCTCACCCCCACATGCCCAGTCGTACGTCGTACCTAGGTGGGGTTCTGGGCCAGTTCTGGAAGGGGTGTGGGGGGGAGTTCGGTTTGTGTTGGGGCGGGGGTAGGGTGTTTGAGGGTTTGAGGGAGCCGTTGCCCAAACAACAAGTCGGAAGTCAGCTGCGTGTTCTGAAATGCGGAAGCCGACCAACAAAACCCAGGGACTTCTATTTTAGCATTTATCACAAGCCTGGTTTTTTCGACTAACCTGCAACAACAAACAGCTTCGGAGCTTCCTGTTTAATTCCATGGAGTCATTCAATTCACAAAACGGACCTGAGAAAGAACAGCCCACATCACACCCACAGCAACCCCCAATCCCTTCGGAACTTCCTGAAGCCTCTCCACCCCAGCTTGCTTAGGCGCTTTCTGGGGACCTTCATGGGCCTCGTGAACATCAGTGCGGCTCGTGGCCAAAGCATGGTGCCAATGTTGCGGGAGGCAGAATTTGGTCCAATGGCGAAAAAAGAAGCCAACAGTTGTCCACCCTTATCAGAAAAGGAAGACACGTGATAGTGTATCAATCAACTCTCTTCCTTATGGTAAACTATCGTTCCAACATAATTGGGACGACTTTTATACTTTCCTTGGGTACGGTATGTTGGGAAACCTTCAGGTGCTCCCCTTGGCAAAAAAAACAAAAATGTGTTTTGTGGTGCACCCAAATGCCTCAAGGTTTCCACTTCGTATTAAAAACACTCCGCCCAGACTTTATCGCTTTCAGGACTGCAACAAGTCTCTCTCACACACACACCGCCCCCTTTCCCCTGATTCATCAGCCCCTACTTTTTATTATCAATCAGGGGTCAACCCCAACCCGCGCAAACCGCTCGAACGGCTCAGCCAAGCGCCCGAATCGCCTGTGGCGGCAAGGGCTGCGTAGGGACCTTCTCCGACATGCCGTACCTTGCGGGGATTCTTGCTCGTTTCGAACGCGTGAAGCGGCTTGGTTCAGGTCCAGGGATGGCTTCCCAAAGATGGGGAACACCAAAACGGGTGCCTTTGAAGACAATCCAAAGGTTTGGGCTGCTCAGCTGATTCCGAGCTGATTCCTTTTTCCAAATGGCATCGCTGTTGGGCAGGTGGAGCATCCGAAGTCTTCTTCATATCTGCCAAATCCAACTCCGTGCGGATAATTTTCCATGTGACCAGGCAATAAAACAATAGCTCCAGCTGTACTTCCCCATAGTTTCTTCCACTCCTTCTCAAACAGTTGGCCCTCTGCCATGGAATTGGGATCAGATTTCGAACCTTGGGGGGCAGAGTGGCATCCGATCTTCTGGGCCCAAAAGAAATGGTCGAACCGAGTTGAAGCAAGCATGAGGATGAGTTCGCTGCTGGGAAATGGAGAAACAAGCCGCAAGACTGTAGGACCTGCATCATGATGCGAAAAGTAAGGAATGCGTTCCCACTTCTAGCAATATGTGTGCTCCTCATCTCGAAATTCCACACTTTCAGCAGGCCATTGATCCACGTTGTTAACCTAGCCCCTCAAGCCAAGCTGTCGCTTGCAGGTCAAAACGCCTCAACCGCAAAAGCCGAGAGACGAACAAGCGGGGACGAACCAGCGGCAGATTCTGGCACCCCAACATTTGAAAGCTGGGGGTCAATCCCGGGCTGTTTGTTTCAGCTTCTTTTCACTGCCATGATCAATCAGCCATGGCTCTAAGTAAAATGGGCGAGCACAAAAAACGAGGCGCGCCGGTCAGATTCAACATGGATTCATTCGGGTTGATCTTTGGCGCACGATCCCCATTCTTATTCAAAGGGGGAGGGGGGTTGAAGTTCGTCTTATTCAAAGGGGGAGGGGGAGGGAACACCTACACCCCCACCCCACAGTGAGGGTTCTTCGTGCGGGTCCTTTCGAACCTGTCTGAGCGGTTACGGGGGGCCTTCAGGCAAAATCGGGCCAAACATGGACAACCTCTCAAAGGCAAACGAGCAACCAGGTGGTCGCAGCAGCCTTGGTTGCAAAGCCCCCCCAAAAGAAAAACGAAGAGCTCCGCAGCACCTTCCGGAGCCTGGCGCGCCACCTAACTGGGGGCTCCGGCAAGACCTCAGCGCCCAGCGCCATCCCGTACGGCAGCACGCTCACCTTGTGGACCGTAAGGATTTGTTTGTTTTTTTGGGGAGAAGGTACCCAGCTGGCCGTCAAAGGGTCTTTTTTGGGAAGGAAACCCAACATGTTAGGGGAGTCCCCAATTCCCAATCTGTTTTGCAGACACACCCTTTTCTACAAGCCACGAATTGGGGTCCTTGTGCCTTTCACAACATCCAAAGAGGCTTTCCTCTTGAGACATGTCCCCATATTCAGTAAGCGAAAAACCCCAGAGTTTTCGTGCCCTGTGCTACTCGCGGCACGCACTTCATGGTGTCATTGCTGATTCTGGCTTCCTGAGTGGATTTGCCCAACAAAAAGTCTGGACTTGTTGCTTGCTACTAAAATGGTCTTGCCGAAAAGTATAAAGTCTGGGAACTCAGCGAATAAGCTGTTTCAGGGGGAGCAAGTTCGCCGGCAAGGGTAGCGGCGTTGGGTATGTTTGGTTGCAACCCCGTTGCAAGAATTTTGGCCAAACATCAAACCGAAGGATCATGACTCATGACTTGTTTGGCTGTCAACACCATGGCTTCGGCTTCCACAAAATGGGTATATATATATATATGTGTGTGTGTGTGCGTCTGGGTGATTGTTTTGTTGTTTACAGCCTTTTCACCTTGGCTGAAAGGAACCGCACCAGTTTTGGACCCCGCCTTGTTTGACACGTACTAGGAACCTTAACGTGCAAAACAATGGCTTAAGCCGCTACCTTTCTAGGAACCTTAACGTGCAAAACAATGGCTTAAGCCACTACCTTTCTAGCCTCTCTAGCCACATGTTTGAGGGCTTCCACGTGTTTCCACGAAGCCCAAACCACCTCTTTTTCTCCAGCATCTGCAACCCAACTTCTCCAAGCGCAGACCCGCTTATCAGAGCCCCGGCTACAAGTGCAACTCATTGTTTACGGCAGGTAAAACGCCCTCAATGGGAGATTGCTCAAGCACAACTCCAAGGATTGATTCCCCATTCTCTTCACCCATCCCAGAAACCACCCGCTTCCCGGGCCTGAGTTACTTTTCGAGGATCCTTGAACACAAGGGGAAAGGAGGGTAGCGGAAACTCGGCCTCCACTCATTTGGTGATTTGGAACGGTTTTCGTCTTGGCGGTGTTCTGCGGGTGGTTCCCTTTTACCCACCAGGGCGTCAAATTTCAATCCAAACCACCAACGAAGGGCAATCTGATATAAACAACGTCCCTTGCAAGGCTCAGTACCGTGGTCCCCTTTTTTGGAAGGGAATCATCGACTTTTGGTATATTCCAACATGTTAAACGAAAATCATCTTCCAGGACCCCTCAGTCAGGCTCCATCTTAGTGGACGAGGGTCCCTGAACTACCTACAACAAAAAGCACAAAAAAACGGCAGCTCCTTTGACCGAAAGGCGCCTTGGGTGTCTTCTTCACCACTGGGAAGGGCGGCGGCCTGGGCGAACGATTCAAGCAAGCCCACACTCACGTAGGCAATACCAACAGGAACTGACCCATCTAGATGGTGAATTTTGGGTAAATGTGCCATACATTGAGTCTTTGGCAAGGGAAGTCGAAGAAATGGGAGAGGACGTGTCCCTCCAAAATCGACCTCTTTGCGGCCACTGGAGCCTCCGTTACTGAAAATAACTTCTACTTGTCCACAGCACTTTCAGATGGCTATAAAGGTTTGCCCAGGGAAAATATATTGAACTTCTCCGTCGTTAACAACTCCCTGCGTGCGGGTGTGTCATGTTCTTTCTCCGTCACCCCCCCCCCCCGGCCCTCGCACGAACAGTAGTGCAAAAGTTCCAAGTGAACCAATCAACTGGGTCGTTCCAAGTGAGCCAATCAATTGGGTCCGTTTGAGGGGCTCTTTCAGCATAGACTCATAGCTGGAAAGGCCAAGAGGATCCCAATCGGGACCCACAACCATGGAACTGCCCTAAAGGATCAGCACTGTATGGAAATTGCCCCATGGCTTCAACAACTGAGATTGAGACTCCCTAGTGGGTGTAATGGGTACCAGGAGAGTTTTCTATGAATCTAACCTCCACCAAAAAAGGGGTTTTGGGCAGAAAGCCATGCCAGGTGTGAGTTGGTATGCAGAAGGACCTTTGGTGGACATCATTTGTATGGTGGTCGATCTCCACCAACCACGTAGACGGTCCCCAAAAAACCACCCTTGCCGTATTTTCCTAAAGGGGAAACTCACGTGGAACCTACGCAACCCGGGGTGGGGGGGGCAATTCGGCGGATTCCATGGCCACCACGCAGACCGAACTCCGGGAACCCGGGCGGAGTCACCAACTCGTAGTTGTTCGCGCCCACGTTCTCCGCGTTCTGCGACGCGGCTATGGAAAGTAAGACATCCTTCACAACGTGATCCACTCACATGCAGCCTGGGGAGGTCCTGGAAGGCAACTTGTCAAAGATTTCGGGGTGGGTTCGGTGTTCGTGGACGAGGGGGTATGCTCTGAATTGTGGTTGAACCCAAAAAAATGTATATGCGAGACCCCCCAAGCTGTTCACCTTTAGGGCAAGCTACAACCCTGATGCTGAAGGCAGCTTTTCCTAAAATGGCACCGCTCTCAGAACACGAATGATGTTTTTTAATCGTGACATGCGTATTTCGTGGCTGGTCGATCAAAGCAGATGTGTATGCATTTTCTCTCCACAACATATTATGGCTTTGGGAATGGCATCCCTTTTTTAAGGGCAGTTCAAAGGGGAACCAAAAGCAATCCCAAAATGGTGGGGTTTCCCTTTTTGTACACATGCACATGGGCTGGCAACATCACCTGGGCGGTCCTTCCCCTCTCAGACGGAAGCTTGCAGGGTTCGGGGGTTGGGGCCAGAGGAAAAGGAAGCCGCAGCTCGCCAAAGAATACAATAAAAACAAAGAGGACAATACGAAAGAAACAATGAAAAACAACAAGCAAGCCTGAAAGCAAGCAAGAAAGCAAGCAAGAAGCAAAGCAAGCAAAGCAAGCAAGCAAGAAAGCAAGCAAGCAAAGCAAGCAAGCCTGAAAGCAAGCAAGAAAGCAAGCAAGCATGAAAGCAAGCAAGAAAGCAAGCAAGCATGAAAGCAAGCAAGAAAGCAAGCAAGCATGAAAGCAAGCAAGAAAGCAAGCAAGCCTGAAAGCAAGCAAGAAAGCAAGCAAGCATGAAAGCAAGCAAGAAAGCAAGCAAGCCTGAAAGCAAGCAAGAAAGCAAGCAAGCATGAAAGCAAGAAAGCAAAGCAAGCAAGCATGAAAGCAAGCAAGAAGCAAAACAAGCAAAGCAAGCAAGCAAGAAAGCAAGCAAGCAAAGCAAGCAAGCCTGAAAGCAAGCAAGAAAGCAAGCAAGAAAGCAAGCAAGCCTGAAAGCAAGCAAGAAAGCAAGCAAGCAAAGCAAGCAAGCCTGAAAGCAAGCAAGAAAGCAAGCAA